AAAAAAAAAAAAAAAAGAATTGGCACAAATTTGATTGGCACAATCAATCCTAGACCATTCTTGAAGAATTTACAGGACCATATCTGGCAGGTAATTCTTATGCCTACAGTATAGAATGGCCTCCCAAGAATTTACCTTTCAATTCTGTCTCATTAAGGTATTTTAACTTTCATGATAGTGTAACATGTTTGAAACTGAAATGTTTCTTTAACGCTATAAATGTCAGAAGCATGTTTCAGATTTTAAGCTGTGAAGATTTACCCTCTATGATGATATATGTGTTTCCAATGTTGTATTTAAATTTTATCACAAAATATAAATATTGTTGGATTAAAAATGGTTATTTTTGTAATAGGCTGAGTAAGATTTATCTTTGAAGTGATCAAAATGCACAGGTGTGGAAATATGTGGAAAAAACAGAGCAATTTAATGTAGATAGTCTAATCCTTCCGTATTTCTTATGTATTTCAAATATAATTAGTTCATTATGTGGAAACACTGTTTTTATTCATCCTTTTATAGAGATAGACTTTTTTTATTTAGTTAAATTAAACCCAGAATGATTGAATAAGCTTGATTCTGTTTAGTTGCTTACATTGGAAAACTGCTATCGTATACACTTAAAAAATGATGTCTCTGCAGAAACTTATTTCAGAAGTGAAAGTTCAGCTGGAAAACCAAGTGAAAGGCGTCTATTTAAACATTACCGCCATCTGTCCAGATGGAACCAGAAAGCCAGGCACAGACGGATGCAAGAACGTGACAAGCAATGACGAAGTATGTGGGTGCGCGTTTTTCCCATTGAAAATAAACTCAGTTGTTTGGCATGCTTTCTCACAGAAAAATCAAACAATTCTGAAAAACTGTACTTACTACTGACTCCAAGGATCTTATTTACACTTCAAAGTAACTTTTATGGTTTCTTTGCTAAGTTCCTACTTGCTTTAACTTCATTGACTGTTCTCTCCAATTCTCAATTAAAATAAATAAATACATATTAATTAAAAACTTATTCAAAGATAATAACTTTAAACTTAGATGTTAAAGCCGTTATATATTGGGTTGTTGGAAAAGTCATGACGCATTTTTGCAACAAAAAACATAGAAAAAATGTCATGACTTTTCCAACAACCCAATTTTAAGAAATCACATCCCCTCAAACAAGTGGTGTCTGTACTTATGATAACACTATTTTAGCATCAAATCTGAAAGTTCTCAGAGTAAATACAAACTGAAGGTTAATAAGCCACAGAAAAGAACGGAAGTGATGAAACAGTCGATAAGGACTTAGTATACCAAAATCTTTCATTTTGTAACTCTCCCAGTACACTCATAACAATCTAGGAAGAGGTAGGGAAATTTGTTAAGAACAATAAAAAAGAAGTGTTATCATTTAACTAAAAAGGAATGAAATGTGGAAAAGAGAGGCCTAGATTATAGCAGCATCAGGAAACAGGACCAGGGGTGATAGGGATTCTCCCAGGACTGGCACAATAGAGAGTAAAATGCCTTTGAAGGGAATTCTTGTAGGATGAAGACATTTTCAGTGAGTCATTTACCTCTTGAGGCATCAGTTGCTCCATTTTTAAATGAATAGCTTGGACTACAAGATTTCTAATCCCTTTCCTTCCGTCTCTAAGGTTCTATAATGTTATTATTTTAATGTCATTGTGTAGAGAAAAAGGGTCATTGAAAGAAATAAAAGGTCCTAAGATTCTAAGATTGAATACAAGAGAATCTCCCTTTCTCTTTACCTTGAGTATATTTTTCCCACTTGGTAAGTTTAGAATCTGCAGATAGTATAGTTGCTCCAACAAGATGTATATTTGAAATTAATTTTTGTTAGTTTCTAGTTCTGGAGGCCCCTCCATAATTTCTCCTTGGATTTTGTTCAAAAGACATTATATACCAGTTTACAAAATATATATTTGATTTCCATTAGAGAAAACTTTATGCTAACAAAAAATAGCACTAAGTTACTTTGTAAGTAAGGGTTACCTTCTTAGAAGTAGTTCTAAGTTTGACTCTCGGGAAGAGTCATATGACCTCTTAATTATATAAACCCTGAGTTTTGCTGTATTATTAATATTGGCAGTGATCACATTATCCTACACATCTGTTAATCCTTAACATTCCTAAAGACAAAAAACATTTCAAGTACAACACGAACTGTATTGGTTTTACTATTAAGAGACTGATTCTAATTTCTAATGCATATATAATATATAAGCCTAAATTTAGATCTTTCATATCAGTGTGTGTGTGTGTGTGTGTGTGTGTGT